CCCCAAAACCCCAAAACCCCAAAACCCCTGCTTTAATAATAAAATTGAATTTTCTACAATGTCACAAAAGAGTAAGGTACATCCTATTTTTAGAAAGCTTTAAAAAGAGAACCCCTTCAAAGCCTTACACCATTGTCCAAACGCCTCTCGCAAGGATGGCAATGGATATACGATTCAAGAACATAAAGGAAATGATGATACAGAAAAAGAAGGTATTATTAGTTCTTAGCTTCTTTGAGCTTTGTCTTAAATCTAATTTATAGGAAACAAGAGGCAAAAAGATCAAACTTCCCACAGAATCAGAGCTAAAATAAGTTCAGAGTCAGACCAAAGCCTGTTGAAAAGTACCAAGAAGAGAGGCCTGATGGGCGTGAAGAGATTCTGTCTCCTCTTAAACGCAAAAGGATGACTCTCATAAACGTAACTTGTTATAATTAAATTTTAGGAACGAAATAAAATTATCAAAGACGTTGAGAACAAAATTCATAATTTGAAGAAAGAGACTGATCATTATAAATAAATGGAAATCTGAGATGTTCCTCCAAGATCTCCGAGAAGGCAATAAGAAGACTACTCGGAATGAGTAAGCTCAAGTTTATATATTTTAGGAAGAAGACAAAGGTCAGCCTTCCTCATATCTCCCAATCTCAGTCTGAGGATAGATTCAAATCAAGAGAGAATTCTGATTACAGTAAATCCTTCACAATTGTCTAGAGAGTAATTCAAAATAGTGAGAGGCAAAATAGTTTGATTCATAAGAATGCCAAAAACAAAATGAATAAATGCAATAAATCATATTCTTCCACAATCCGTACTTTGTTGCATGACATTTTGTAGAAAAGCAAGAGAACTGATTTGATATCTTCAGAGACGAAGTGTTGAAGAATCACAAAAAGTTAAACAAACAGTTCAGACAGAAAGAGCTCAGAGAGCAAATCATTCTAAATGGAGGAGTTTACCCCCATGCATTCAAAAATTCTGAAGGAAAAGAAGCATTCAACCGAAACGACAGAGTCTCCTTGTTGCTCTACTCTCAAGATCCCAGCCTTGAGAAGAAGTATTTGTCTAAAGACATGAAGAGAATCTTGAAGGGTAAAAATATAGATGAGAAGACAGGGATTGAATCTAGTAGTAATTTCAATCAGAAATCTATGAAGGAAATATTAGACCAGGAGTTATCTGAAGAGACCTCACATCTTGAAACAGTCGTTGTTTCGAATAAATATAAATCGCCTATTAAGAAATATCTGAAGGATTTAGATGAATTGGTTTATGATAATACAACTCCAGAAGTTAATCAGACTATTGATTATGAGTCACTAAACAAGCTTGCGATTACTCCTGAGCCTCAGAAGAATATTCTGACCAAATCTTCTGAGAGAGATGGCACTGTAGGTTTTCAGAATCGTGGGATGAGGGTAGACCAAGCTGAAACTGAACAGATTCCCTTCTTACAGGTCTATCCTTCTCAAGAGAAAATTAAAAGTATAGGCAGACTTGTGAGGGTTGAAAAGCAAGTCTTTGATTCTGAAGTAAAATCTAAGAAGAAGGAGTTGAACAGAAAGAGTCAGAATATGTATAAAAGTCTTCAATATGAGGTATTTGATAGAATTATAAGTACAGGATGAAGACATTTCTCGATACAGCCAAATCATGAGCATGCTCATTCTATTAATATTTAGATATCAGGAATGACGTAATGAAGAGAATGAGGTACCATTACTTGAAGAAAACCCAGCTTCCTCACTTCAAGAGAGAGCTTAGAAAATAAAATAATAAGTAAAAGACCAGAAGAGAGCATTAGATACAAAAATTCTAAAATGGACCTGAGTCATTCAAAGTCATTTCAGAGTTGTATGATATCATTATAACTGTTTATATAGCTAGTAGCTCTTACCTGAAGCACCCTGAGAAGAAGTTTAAAAATGATTTTGTTGATTATTTCAATTGTAAGCGGTTTTCTTAATCCATAGGTGCACTCACACAAGTAATATGATAAATATTAGCTTTAGGCAATGTTTTTACAGGAGAGAAATGGTGTCATTACCAAAGAGAAAGGTAGGCTTGTAGGATAACAAATAGACGAGGACTCTGAAGAAGAACACAAAGATGATCTTGAGGATATACTAAAGACAATAAATATGTAGTTTTCAATCAGCTGCTTTGAAATAGGGGTTTTGGGGTTTTGGGGTTTTGGGG